ATCCGTGTTGTCGTAATAGTCTAGATCCGTGTATGTTGTATATCTGATCCGTGTTTGTCGTAATAGCTGATCCGTGTTTGTCGTAATAGCTGATCCGTGTTTGTCGTAATAGCTGATCCGTGTTTGTCGTAATAGCTGATCCGTGTTTGTCGTAATAGCTGATCCGTGTTTGTCGTAATACCTGATCCGTGTTTGTCGTAATACCTGATCCGTGTTTGTCGTAATACCTGGTCCGTATTTGTTGTAAAGTGTGAAGTTAAACTCAAAGTATGAAAAAAATCATTTTATAAAAGTTCAATAAAGTAAAACGGTTATCAAAGATCTGAAAATTTTTTAGTTTCTTTCATGAAAAATCATATTTAATTACTTTAAGTCTTTAATCACAAAGCCAAGATATGGAGACATCCTGGGAAATTAAGTTCGTATCCAAAGTTGGGGATTGCAATCTACTTGTCACGTTTCTTCTCGTATAATAACGTATGTTACAAAACCCACATTTCTGATAAACCTAACCCTACAGAACTACGGGCAGGCAACAATATGGGGAGGACAACTTGAAAGCCAGTTTTACTTGTTGTACGAGTGGGTGGGCAATTTAAGTTAACAAGACTTTTCAGTGATGGGTTCCTGCAGACATATATAATGGGTTAAATGTACGAATAATTTATATATGATAATACAGAACAGTAGCTGCAAGGGCAACATGTAGCATCTATATATGTTTGGTTCAGGTCGAATTAAGCCTAAAAACTGGAATAACAAATGGCTTTCAAACCACGCTACATTAACAAGCAATGCTGTTAATCACAAAAGGACGGTTACCTTTACCCCTCCTCCGTTAAAAAAATGCAATAAAACGGTAACTGGAAGCCCACAAGCTAAATCTTTAGAAATCTCAAAATAAGCTGTTGTTTCTCGAGAAATAAGAAATATGGTCAGAAACTGAAAACACGATAATTCCTTTGGACCACTTGGCAAATCAGCCACTTCAGAAAGAACTCTGACCTGACCTCTTACAATTGTGATGGTAAATGGCAGAGATGTCGGTGTCATAAAATCTAGCCCAGTTTCACGTCTCTAGGAAAACAACAACAGCAGCAGCGCTCAAGATGTTCATCAACTAAGACAAAACAGATTGTAATAATGTTGGCATTTATGTGGACTTTAAGATGGTCATCAACTAAGACAAAACAGATTGTAATAATGTTGACATTTATGTGGACTTCAAGATGGTCATC